CCTGCTATTTACCCATAGCTGGAGGGAGAAGAAGAGGATTCACACCTTTCCCAAGGGTATTAGAAACGTAAGTGAATGTAATGGATTCGAATAGTATTCGAACTCGACTCTCCGATTCCTCAATCCAAGCCACTATCCATTACTCCACCGTGCCTCCTAACTCTTTTTCATTCTTTCTTTCTCTCTCTCTCTGTCTCTGTCTCTCTCTCTCTCTCTCTCTCTCTCTCTCTCTCTCTATATATATATATATATATATATATATATATATATATATATATATATATATATATATATATAAACGAATAGACAAAAAGAAAAAAAACAATTTTAGCCGACACGCTTCGTGCTTTGAGGGATTTATCAAATGAAACATAAAGAATAAGAATTATTCATATAGAAGCGCAAAAATATTATTGTATTTTCATTATTTAGCTATAGGAATGCTTATGAATATTTATCAGGTTAGTGGAAATATCTGGCAAGTTCATGGACGGCAGGTGATATGCTAAATAACTAGAGTTAGTAGGAGATGTATGAAGAAAAATATCCGGAAAAAACAAACAAAAATCCTATTATGCAATTATGCTGTTTTAATGCTAATATAATGTCAACGTCGGACGTGATCATGTTGTGAAACGGAACGCTGACCTTGAAAAATTTCAGTTATCTATTTTGATCAGTCTTACTCTTATGTCCATCGTCTTTTCATGTTGAATTGAATATAGGATAATGTTAATTATGTTTTATGAATATATCCTGAAGATGGTCTACTAGACCGAAACGTCTGACGTTGACATTATATTAACATTAAAACAGCATAATTGCACATTAGGATTTTTGTTTGTTTTTTTTCATATATCTTTCTTCATATATATATATATATATATATATATATATATATATATATATATATATATATATTGTTACCTGATGAACCGGAGTCCTTTAAAAAGGCCTTTGGTGAAATAAATTATTGTAATGGTACCTTAAAATGGTCTGTTTTTTATATATATATATATATATATATATATATATATATATATATACACACAACATTAACGATTTCTCTCAAAACTCTAGGGAATACACCGAGAAAAGTTCACTCCCATTTCATATATATATATATATATATATATATATATATATATATATATATATATATATATATATATACACGTATATATGTATTTGTGGGTGGGTACGTGGATAAATATTTAATAAAAATTATTTCAATGTTTCGCTATTTTCATCATTTTCCTTTCTGTGCATTTTCTTTTGTTTTTAAATGTCACCAACTTCGTGTGAGGGTGAATTTATATCAGCAGGTACATCAATTTAGCCTGACGAAGTCCCCTAAGGACGAATCGCCTCCCTCCAAATTGCTTTCACTTTGAAACTTTGACATTTATTTTCATTATATATATATTTATTTTCATTACATATATATATATATATATATATATATATATATATATATATATATATATATATGGATATATATATATATGCATGCATACGTATATATATATGCATGGATACGTATATATATATATATATATATATATATATATATATATATATATATATATACACACACACATATATATATATATATATATATATATATATATATATATATATATATATATATGCATACATACATAGGGCAGGAGATATCGTTTTTCAGTAAGTTCATTTTAGTTTGACGCCGAAAGAGCTGATATAATCTAGTAGGGAATTAGGAACTTTCCAATGTGAATTTTTATATACGTTGAAGCTGCTAGTCTTGAAAATTATAATTCAATACTATTTTTTATTTGGGCTTAAGGCGAGCGCTTTTATCTATGGAAAGTACCTAACAACCTCGGAATGTAAGCCAAATCTCTATATCTTTCTTATACAAAATATGATGAATGCTCGAAGAACATGGCCATTTTCACGGAGCAATTATTTTGGCAGCCTATTCACAAGTGACTTCGTAGATGGGCACGCGATGATATTTATATTTGATAAATATTGTATGAAATGTATGTGTATAAATTGTTTTGGTATTTTGTTGTTGCTGTTTTTTTGTTTGTTTGTTTTTTTCTTTTTTAATATTCCCCCATAACTTGAGACATATTAATAAAACGCAGAAGCTATTTCATTCATTTTCTTTTCGACGCTTCACTTTTTTACGTTCGACATATTTTCTTGCCAATTTGGGGTTCATTGGCACTAGGCCATATCGGCACTTTCCAATTTTGTCTTGTTTTTTTTCCTCGCGCTTTCTTAAGCCTTTGGGCTGCATCAGTCATCGCGTATTTGGTTATAACACCGTTCACACATCCACCTATATCTCTCCTCCACTACATTTCTCTCTCTTTTTTCTAGCTTCATATATATATATATATATATATATATATATATATATATATATATATATATATATATATATATATATATGAATTTCATCTAAACAAACTTCGCCAATTATATTATAATCTATCGACAATTACACGCACTTTCTCCTATAAATTGCATTGTTCGTGGTCACGTCACATTTAAACAGGTTAAGCAACGTCAATACTGGTCAGTATCGAGAAGGATCACCGCTTTGGAGTGGCAGACGATTTAATCTTGAATGTGCGGGCGGTGTAATGAATTACGACTTGGAATTATTAATCAGAAAGCCGAATTCTAATTCCAATTTCAATGGTTAAATGTGTATCTTTTCACCTGTTAGCAAGGTTAGCCAGAATGCAGGCCATTAATTAATAGTATAAACAATCCAATTGGAATTGTTTTATTCCTCAGGTTATATCATTCTTCTTCTTTTATGTGTCAAGTAGTTACAGAAAATGAGCAATTATGGCTCTTCACTACTTCCTTTATTTTACTGTATATAATTATTTTACACCAGAGCATATTTCTTTTTCATATTATGCTTCTGTTTAAAAAAAAATTAAAGTAGTTCACCTAGTTTTGTCTTCGCCTCTTTCTCTTGCATTAAATATATCCTGCGATGTTGAAATACACTACGGTGTCTTTCCACAATATATGTCCCTGGAATTTTCATCCGTGGCTTTTTGATTGTTAATCTTTAATCTCTTTTTCCGATTTTCATTAAAACTTCCTATTTGTTTACATGTTAAGTCCATGGTATTGTTTGGCAGAACCGTATCTTTGTCACTTCAGTTTACATAAAATTCGTCGATAATGTCCAGCATTCATTGCCATATTAGATATTACGTAGAATTTCAGGACGTTTTCCTTTGTTTCTTAATGATATTTTCCTGTCGAAATAATTTATTTGTCTAAAGTTGCTTTTGCTATAATTTTAGGTTTTCGGATTAATTTGTGATGTGTTAATAAAATATTTAATTATATATATATATATATATATATATATATATATATATATATATATATATATATATATATAAACTAGAAACTAGGTTATCCGTATGGGTAGAATCAAGGAGGATGATATCCGAATGCTCAATGTAAATTCAGAACAAATATGTTTGAATAAAAAACAGACCACTTTAATCTTTGGAAGTAAAGTCTGATGATCCATAGCCCTTTAAAAGGGCTGTGGTGAAATAATTTATTACATGGTACCTTAAATTGGTCAGTTTTTTATTCATATATATATATATATATATATATATATATATATATATCTTGAAACCTGTCTGCAAATGGAACAGCCCAAGATGCGAACTCCGAATTTGACACATCAAAATCAAGCAAGCAAAAAAAATAAAAAATAAAAATAATTATTTAGCAATTTTTCATTATTTACATTATCGGACTAATGTCCTCATCTTTGCCGCCATATTTATTACAAACTCTTTCAGGTGGTTGGAATGTCGAACTGAACCCTTTATTTCGCTCACTGGGGCAGACTAGTGCCATGTCAATTTCCCTCTGAAAGTTATCCACTGCCTTTACCAGGTATTGAACTCACACTTTTGGGGTTCTGTCAATGGATCTAACAAACGCCTTTATCCTTGCGTACATCTGTTTTTGAATTTTTGGGTATTATAACCCTAATGCCTCAGCATACGTTTTTTACGTGTGCTCATATTGCAATTGTTTTAACAGAGGATGAAAAAAATGATATTGGAATACAATTTCGCACTGGAACAAGGAAAGCTATTTACCAAAAGTTAGGAAAAGTATTATTAAAACCAAATATGTTGATTGGAAACATAGATACTAGTATTTAAATCAGTCATGGACAAAGTGCGACCGGCGGGCTATATGCGGTCCGTTTTACTTTCTCATATGACGCACCGAATTCCATCAGGAAAATAAGGTTTATTAATATTTGGTTTAACGTAACGTTTTCATCATATTATACGATTGATGATTTTCAATAAGGAACACCACGCATGTAAATACCATTTGCTATAGAAACAGGACGTTCAAAATAATTTTTTTGTCTTGAGAAGAAATATATATATTTTTTTAGAGGAGGAACATATATTTTTTTCTAGAGAAGATTTTTTTCTTAATTTAAAAATTATTTTTTGTATTTTCAAATGAATATGTAAGAAACAAATCAGATACAACACTGTCACCTGTGATAAAATTATACCGGGACTTCGTATTTTTAATTATTTAGAAATCCTTTCTCCAAAAACAATCTAACAATCTACCTTTCACCATTTCTATAGCAGAAGCTTACGCTTTGGGTCTTCTGTGACGAAAATGGCTTCGGCAGCTTCAACTAAAAAATTATCCTCGATTCTTTTTAGTAGTACGACTAGCTGTATGATCAGCTATAAGTAATGCGGACCACTAGTCAGAAAAGGTTACGCACGCTGGACTTAAATGTTATGTCATATCGTGGAAAAAACAAAAGGATACTTATACTTAGAATGGGAGAAAATTGAGGTTTATAGGGTACATAACGTGGATAGTTTCAGATTGGACATATTGGTAGCAAGAAAGTCACAGAAAAGCAATGAAAAATCGAACAAGGGAACGTAGATGTTGGACAGAAAAAAGGATTAAGAGGAACAGCAACAATAGACAAAATTTACAGGACAGTGTGTTGAAAGAAAACGGGAAGAAGAAGATGAAGAGGGAGGAGGAGGAAGAAGAAGAAGAAAAAGAAGGAGGAGGAGGAGAAGGAGGAGGAGGAAGAAGAAAAGAAGAAGAAGATGAAGGTGGAGGAGGAAGAAGAAGAAGAAGATGAAGGAGGAGGAGGAAGAAGAAGATGAAGGAGGAAGAAGAAAAAGAAGGAAAATGATCGGAATCATTATAATAATATATAGAGAGAGATTCAAAGTGAATCCCGATTTAAAGCAGGCTAATGGAAAAGGCAATGGACACAAATCATATTTATTATTTTTGAAGTTAACAGCACAAACACATTAACGAGAAAAAATACAAATATAAGGGACTAAAAAGAATAATATATTAAAACTGACTGACTTTTTTCACATACACTTAATGTAAAAAAGTTTATAAGCAAAATAAAAGAAAGAATAAAAAATAATAGTGAATAATTCCTCATAATATGGTGTCATTGCATTGCAAGATAAAAGGAAATAAGCAACAATGGAAAACTAATTAGACATGCTTTAGACACACACACACATATATATATATATATATATATATATATATATATATATATATATATATATGAATGATTAGATCCTTCCTATTTAGATATTTCTGACTAGTGTGCCCATCTTTGTTGCCATTTTACAACCATTCTTACGTAATATGCTCCGGCCTTCTTCAAGTGAGTTCAATATTTGATGACAGAAGATTGAACAAACACATCGAGAGATGAGTTACTAAATGGAATTAATTGAAACTGAGATATCCCAAAAAAGCATGGCACCTGGAATTAGAACAGTCTACACCCATGGACTAAATAAAGGATTCGATTCGAAATTCCGACATATACAATGTCAGCATGGCCGGAGAATGCAACGGCCAACACGTCATGAAAATGGCAATAAAGATGAGGACAACAGTCCGAATGATGTAAACTGTGTCAGTAGTTAAAATACGTCATCTCAGTAGTATAGACAAATGTAAATCGTTTCTGTAACAAAAATGAGTGTCGTGTTCAAACAGCCAAATAATCGGGGAGGTGATTTTTTCATAATATCTGCCCAGTATGTGCTACGATTAGTTTCTGAAAAACATGCCACTGCTTGGCACTGTACTTGTGAGCGAAAATTGGTAAGTCGATGGCTTCAACGACAGATCTCTCCAGATTATTCTCTATCTGGCAGAAACAATTACCCGCTTATATTTTTTTCTGTGGATTTTAATGCAACACAATCCCGACAGGGAAGTCGTCTGCTACAAGCAGTTCTTCTTAACGAGTGAACTAGGAAACGAGTATTTAGCTATTATTTTTTATTACCTATACTTGGAAATGTTTGAACAATTTGCTTTTTAACATGAACAAATCCGAATGCTCAAACATCAGTCTTTGAGGAAATATAATTTTTCTTTTGTAATTAAGAAGAACAGACCAGTAATTGCTGGAAAATTTAAATTAATTCCTTCAATGCTAGTTGCCACCGTTCCCGTAAAGTTAAAACTCATAAAACGTATAATAAATATCAAGAGATCTGGAAGAGACGACAAAATTCATAAATGTGAAGATGGTTGTAGTTATCATTGAAAATGTGAGGTAGTTGAAATGTTCTATAAATGTTTCCTTTTTTTTTTTAAGGATGAATTCAGATTTGTTTAAAATTCAAGGTTGGTTAAAATACATTCGATGTTGGTCGGGACTGGGTGCGAAACATTCTCACTATCTTACATCATTTTTATCCAAGGTATCATCAACTTAGAGCGCATCCCGAAGGAAGCAGTTCTCGACACTACCAGACAAGAAACGGGCCCATTGGAAGACGTCACCAGCAAAAAGTGAAAGTCTCAATGGTGCGGCCACATTCAAAGATCGAAGAATATTTCCGCTGCCATCCTACGGGTTTTTACCTGAGGCAAAACAAGAAGCAGCAGACAACGCAAACTGATAACATCACTGAAGAGGCAGGAAGGTATTTATCAAAAACTTAGCTATCAACTTGCAATCGGAACATGTTGAAGGAGTCGCTTATGCGCACACCGGCGCAAAGACTCTACAACTACAAGCGGTCATGGAACTGAAAGTGTTGACGGTATCGATAACGAGTATTTGACGTCAAGTCTATGAAATACACCATTCAAATTATTCTTCAAATTGGAAAGAAAAAAGAAAAAAGAACGATAGTCCTTCATAACAGTTGTCAGTTCATGTAACTTAAATATAACTGCATCAAAAACAAAATGTAATTAAAAAGCAAATATCGGTTGTACTGAGTAAAAAATGAAACTGTCAATCATTTAATAATTGAATATGACAGATTCCTTCCCAGGGAAACAGGTGCAGATGAAACCTGGGCATGGGGATTTATTGAAACCGTCCAAGTAACTCGGAATTAATTAAATATAATAATGGGCTAAACAAAACGGATTCCCTCGAGAACAGACAAAAATAAGTTTCCATGGGTGTTGGTTACGCATGGTCGACCGGTCCAGTGTTAACCAAGGTATGTGGTCCCATGGGCGGGCGGACCGCAAGTCACAAAGTCGGACAGACCTAGTGAACTCGGGTACATGTTTTCAGGCGCATAGCCGGAAACGCCGGGTAGTCGACCAAATGGGTGCACCGCTGGTGGTGGACACCAGTTTCATAAAGTTGGACAAAATTAAGTGAACTCGCGCGATCAGTCGACGACGCGATGCCGGTGGTCGGCCAGCAGGACGATCGAGCGGGCATCCAGACGGGACGTTTTAAATTGCAAAGAGAAGCATCCAGTACGGCAAAGATCTTATAGATTGAAGCTAGTGTTAGACATTTTCATGACGGTCGTCTTCGAGTATAGAATCCAGAGGTTGGCAATGAATATTTCGGAGACAGTAGGAAAGCGTAGTGCAGGTTCGCAGTGCATATCGCAGCAAAGTAGCAGAGCGTAGTTCTTCCGTCTGTCCTGTTCGCCGGACAAGTTGGCTCTGGTCATTCCGCTAGGTAAACAAGATGGCCGCCTTTATACACGACGAATACAGTGTTGTGCGGCTTCTGATTGGTCAACCTTCTATTGGTCGACTATAAAGGGAATTAAGTCATTTTGACTCGCTCACTAGTATAGTATACACAAAAAACCGTAACAGCTAGTTCAATTACGTCGAAGAATAACTGGAAATATTATCATTTTTTTCTCTCCCTATCATATTAATTTTGTTGCTTAAGCTCTGAAGACATCATTTTACAGTTTAAGGTTGTTATATAGACGGCTGGATGGACACCTCGAGGCGGTGTAATGGTTAGCAAGCTTGTCTCGCTAGAACAGGTACGATTGAATAATGAGTTCGATTTTTACTGGGTGTCCCATACATTCAGCCTTGTGCCACATCTAAGCTACGCTTGGAAAATCACTATATAGACGATTGGATTAGGCATTAAATAATATCGGTCATCAGACTAATGAATTTCAGATTCTTTGGATTTTATCAAGAATCACTAAATATATAGCAGGAGCACCAGACCAGATGAGGCAGGAATATTCAAAGCGTGGTCGAGTGGTAGACTTATAAATATTTGCGATAGATTCCAACGATTAAAGATGTCTAGCATGATACGGTGAACGTAGTTACTTAGCAGAGCAAATGATTCACTATAATCTTTCCATTTCATGTCAGCAGAAAACGTTAGTAAGAGAAGTTGAGTTGATTCACTCGCCTAGAGGTTAGCATCAGCCATACTGATAGATGGCAATGAATGCTCTCTCGGGAGGAGTAAAATGGAGCCGTTTTGTTTTGGATGCGTTAAAATTAATAATAATGCATTTCTCTCCCCAGTTAACCACAGATTGTAGGTCATTTTTGAGTTCAGCTGTCAATTCGAACTTTTCGAATCTATCAGAGATACCATTAAGACAGTATTAAATACTTGTGTCAGCAGCATAGATAAATTTTGAGAACTGACGTCATTGAGGAAAATTATGAAAAACGTAAAAAGATCTCTTTCTGCATTAATGCAAAAATATAGAACAGTGGCTGTTCAAGATTTTCATATCGCGATTTGATAAGAAATATTGAATCAGTTAAAAAATATAATTGTCTAGAAATACCAGAAACAAGATATGCAAAGCAACAGCTTAAGTTATACAATTCTTAAAAATCATAATAGATTCTCTAAGCAATTACCATTAAATCATCAGGAATTAATCTAGAGAATTGAAATTGTTTATCTCAAAATTGTTTATTTCGAGATGAGATGCTTGACATATTCCGAGTGGGTTAGATCTTCTAGCACTTTGCCATAAAAAGGTAGAAGTCCAAAAAGCCAATAGTTAGACTGATTAGACTGGGTTTTAATGACTGGAAGCAGAGAAGATGATTTCAACAAGCAGGAAAGCAAGAGGCAACAACGGATTTATTGTAGAGTTTAGAGAGAACCAGTTTAAGAGCACTTTTCCTATGGATGGATGCCATCATGTCTATATGCTTTGTGGGGTCCAATTTAGATATATTAGCGGAAACTATCGACTGATTATTAATCAGTCGATAGTTTCCGCTAATATATCTAAGCATGTCACAAATTAGAGACCATTTTTTTGTGAAATATCAAAAATATATTTACTCCAGCTGAGCAAAGAGTAGAAATGGAACAAACTTTAAAGGCAGAATATTCTGCTTTATAAGAAAACTAACAGCATGGCCCGGGGTTGCCCGTGCTTGATTCCAAAATCGTACGACTCATACAGCAATCGCTATCACTTGCCTTAAAATATTTTTAGCCTTCCTTGCCTTTAAAGGAGTGCCCTTTGCCGTGCTGATGTCGGTACATGCCTTACTTCTTGCTTATCTCACACTGCGAATTTTTTCTAAGCTCTATACTGAACATTAAACAAAAAAAGAACTAAACAAAATGAACACGAAAAAAGAACTAACCAAAATGAACACAAAACAATCAGCTTAAAAAAAGGACTCGTAACTGGAAAAAGCGAATGAAAAAAGAATGTTAACAACAAATACTTTTTCACACCCAACCCAGTTCGGCGGAATCAGAATCAACGTTGAGTTCAAGCAAGCGAATGAGTCAATTGGAGTAAAGTGCCATGCAGATTTGAATTTTTTCCCACATGTGACGAATGCAGCTATCGATTTTTTTGCATGCTAGCATGCTAGTTAATATTCGTGTCAGTTAGCTGTTGGCTCTCAATCTGGCCAATAGAATCTTCCTGCCTATTCGTGGCAGCCACCCATAGGCTCTAACTCTGGCCAGTACAAAATGGCCGCAAACTACATGAAAACTGCAGCAGAAGTATGAAAATATCGATTATTTCCACGATCGATGGGAGTTGGGAAATGCAATGTCGGTCTTGGCCTTCCCGCTAACTTGGAGCATGTGCATGTAAATTTCGGTGCAAATCCGTCGAAAACTGCGGCCCTGCATTCGTTACACACACACACACACACACACACACACACACACACACACACACACACACACACACACACACACATCCTGCTTTTTATAGATATAGATTGCGTGAAAAGAGGAGAGATAAAATACTTACTTTTTTTTCACATGCCCTCACTGTGTAGAGAAACTTTTTCGACCTTAAACAGTGCCTTAATCTGCTAGTGAACAATTTTAGGGAACGTTTACAATTATTACACGAAAACATAACGAGGTGTTTTCTGTCTTTGAACCTATCACGATAGTAAAATTGATGTGGGCTATACAGGTTGAACAGGCCGATGTGATCCAAAGGGGGAGATTTTGGTTACGCCGGATATTTCTCAAAAGGTACAAAATTATCGATATTGGCTTTAGACCGAGCAGAAACCTCTGTCACAGAATTCGTAATAAAAAGGTGAACAATATTAATAGAAGTGTTGTTTCGAAGAATGTCACGAAATGAACCCCTGTCAGTACGCTGGTAACAGAAAGAAGTCTTGTGAATAGGAAGGTTCGGCCTGACAGAGGGCCACCGCTTTGAAATATCATGTAGTGTAAGATTGGATATGTGGATGGTGTAATTGATAACGGGTGGGAGTTTGAAATCGAAGAGGCGAGTTTCAATTCTAGTTGGGTTCGTTATATTCACATAAGCGCAAATACCTTTGGGAAAGGTATGAATTCACCTCTTCTCTTCCAGTTATTAAGTAAGTAGTCTCTGTTTTTTTTTTAATTTAATTAAACAGTTAAAAAAAATAACAACCAGCCTAGAAGTGTAAATCTCTCCAAAGGAAAATGGGCGATATTCTTCATTATTATCCTATTATAAATGTGTTGGTTCATCCCTTCGCCCGAACGTTACTCCTTGCGAGTGCATCATAAAGAAGGGACAATTCCGTTTTTATCGCGTGGAACGAGGAGATAAAGACGCTACATTACGTGTTTTCATTGAGAAAATAAAACAGACGAAAGAAAGAAGACAACATAGATGTGTTTAATGTTTCGTGTTAATACGTCATAAACAATTAACTATTTAGTTTTGATTGCCTGCCAAAATGAAACACGTATCAAAATCTTTACTTGGCCCCAGCGAGAAAAATGAATAAAAGGAAAATAGAAGTGTTTAACGTCTGTTTCAAAGAAATTAAAAAAATGAAAAAGATGTTCAATTTTAAATATTTTCATTTGTACCCACTTCTTAAAATAACGACCAGCATTCATATTTATCGTTGTTATTGAAATATTTTGTTAAAGTTGTTAATGGCAAATATTTAACGAGGTGATAAGGCAATTTCTACGGATATTTTATTGCCATAAAACTCGCCATTATCATATTCAATCATTACATGAAAAATTAAGATTCATCAGAAAAGTAAAATAGAAAACTGAAATTTATGCGGGTCTTTCTAGTTACAATTATATAGCTAGTATATTTAATTAGTATTTCTAATGTACTAATAATCAGTGTTTAGTTGCGTTGAGGTGCGTCAGTTACGTGTCATGAATATCTATGACATTATTTACGGTTACTAAGAAAATACTTACCCGCAAGATTTTGACGCATTTAATTACTTTTGTTTCGTTACATTGCCGAAGTAACCCGCTGGGCGGATTTTATTGTCGGTGCCAATGCAAAGGTCTGAATTTTTGGACGCGGAAAAAGCGGTAATTCTTAATCAAATGCCGAAGCTTCTGCGTATTAGCTAAACATTGCCAGTCGACTGAGTAAACTTCTCTGGGTATCCATGCTACACCCAACGTGCATTGTGTTTGTTTTGTGATGCGTCTTCGAGAGCGCGCCCTCACGAAGCGCACGTGATAAAGATAAACGCTTGACTGAGTGCTTAGGGGATGACGGGAACCCGCGAGGCACGCGTCACTGATCATAAATCGGTGGTGAGCTCTTTATAATTTCAAACCAGGCGTAAAATAAGAATATTTCAGCGCTAGGGTCAGGAGTGGTGGTCACTAGATTCTTCAGGAAACAGGTAAAACTGCATTGTACTGCTCATCCGTCAGCATGTGCTGGCCGAGATGCGTAAATGGTTGAACGGGCAGAGCGTTGAGGAATTCGAATCAGGGATCCTGATAGGAGGAAGAAGTAAGGTTTGGCTAAGCTAAGAGGCATGCAAAGGCGTATGTGTCAGCGAACTGACGTCGGTTTTGACAATATATTTTGAGATTTTATGATTACTCGCGGAAAACTAATATAAATATATATCATAATTTAAAAGCAATACATAACAGGAAAAGTCAACCACGTGTATGTGCGAGAATGCGCGTATCTCTCTCTCTCAATATATATATATATA